CACACTCCCTTCAACCGATCAAACACCATCCTTGGTCCCTCCAGTCTGTCCTTCAGCTTGAACCCTTCTGTATTCTTGTAAGCCACCAACGTGGGCCAGGCCTGCTTGGCTTGCCGACTTCGTTGCATGGGTACTGCGTCTCATGGTCCGGGTGTCGGACTGGCGCTGGGGTCCGCGCGGGTTCCAGTATATCCGCCACCAGCCGTGGTTTCGGCCGCTCCATCAGCGACAGCTCATACTGCAGCACAACTTCTGGTAGCACGTTCTGCCAATACCTTCGCGTCCTGTGCGTCCTGCTGCCAATCTGTGCTGCATCCCACGCCACCCCTGCTCCCAGCTCCCCTCGGATCTCTTCCTCTGCTTGCTTTACTGCCTCTCTCTGGTCGTCCCTCGTGTCCACATTCTCCACTATATACGCCACCTCCGCCTGCTTGCGCTTGATCAGCTTCAGGATCCTGATCAGTTCCCAAAACAGCCCGCTCCTCGGATCTGCCATTCCTCGTCTCTTCCCCGCACGGGACATCCCCTGGCATTCCCAGCCCGCCACCAACAAGTCTATGTGGCCCCAGTGCGCAAGCGCCTCATCTTCAACATCTTCTACTCAATGGCATATCCATTCTGCCCCCCGTTCCACCGCTCCCTCGTACAGCTGAGAGGGGTACCTTTCTTCCAGCTTCTTGATGTGATGCTAGGATATTGTGCTCGCGATGTCATCATTATCTACGTAGATATACTTTTCCACTCGCAGACCTGCCTTCAGCGCCGCTGCTAACCCCGTGTTGATCCCCCCAAACAACTCCAGGAGCACAATCGGCTGTGAAACATCCTGCTATCCAAGTGCAGCTTCCGCAGGCTGCCACTCTCTCCCCACTGCTGGCGATGCCAATCTCGGTATCTCCTCTCCTCCTCCAATGCTTCCCAATTTAAGCGCTCCAGCTCTTCCTCTGCCGTCTTCACCTTAGCATGATATGCCTCTCTCGGTTCGCGTCGGATAAAGCGCACCGGCAGCTCCGCCATGCATCCGTCGTACTCCCAGTACGTCACTCGGTACGTCAATCGCTCTTCCCACATGCAGATGGTCGAACCGATGCTGTAGAGGAACTCCACTCCCAGTAGCAGGTCATAGTCTTCTGATGGTGAGATGCCGCACTGCAGCTTCACCGAACATTCCTCTAGGCTTCCCTGCCTGATCATAATCTCCAGCGTAGCCCGCGTCTTCGGCATCCACTTTGTACCGCCTCCTTCCGCCGTCATTAGTAGCAGTCCTTCTGCTATCTGCCTCTCTGGCCTATCCAGCTGCAGCTGCTCCGCCAGTCGCCTTCCTATTAGCACCGGATGAGCTCCGGTGTCGGTGATGGCATGCTTCACCGGCAGCCCCCCTATCGTGATATATCCCTTCTCCGCCACCAGTACTGACGCCGCACAACTGAGCCTCTCCAGTAGGTGCCGACGAGGTGCTGTTCCCCTTCTGTCCTCTCCCGCTTGTCGCCTCGGCCCGTGCTCCTGTTGTGCCTCTGTCCTCTGTCTGAGGTACCTCTCCCTCGGCCTTAGTCCTAGCTCATCCCTCTCCCTCACCGGTCTCGCCATCAAACAGAACTCCTCCTCACTTCCTTCTTCCTCTTCCTCCTGCCTCGCCACCAAAGCCGGCCTCCTCTCAGTCCCCTTTTCTCGCTCCTCCAGCTAAGCCCTGAGCCGTTCTATCTCAGTGCGCATTTCTTCCACGTCCCCCTTTTCTCTGGGCTCCCCTCGTCGCGCGTAGCAGTCTCTCTCCAAGTGCCCCCTTCTCCCGCACTTGCCACACGTAGGTGCCTCCGGGAAGTCCCTCCTCAAATAATCTTCCTTGACACAGACCGAGCATGCCGGTGGGTTGCGGCAGTCCCGTCGCAGATGTCCACCCCGGCCGCAGTTATGGCATTTGTGCGTGTCTGCCGGACCTCTCGGCGGCCGCTCGTGCTCAACTGGACTGGCGCTCCACCCTGGCCGTCTCCTCTCTGTCGACCTCTCCGCAGTGCGCTCCACTTCGAATAGCCTGCGACCCGTCTCCACCCTCTTTGCAGTCTCGTACGCGACTTTTAGCGTCGCCGCTGCCCCCAATTAAAAGATTTTCATCTGCACATCCCGCTGCAGCTCGTAGTTTAGCCCGTTCAGGAATTTTTTGACGAGCCGACCTTGATCCGTGCAGTTCATATCCTCCCCTAGCTCCACCAAACGTCCGTAGTACGCCAGTAAGGATTCACCCGTCCTTCGCTTGAAATCTCTAAATTCCACGACTCGCTCCGGCGTCTGCAGCGGAAACTGCTCGCGCAGCATCTCCAGGAACCGCTTGGTAGGGTCTCTTTCTCCCGCTCTTCCCTGCGCAGCCCAATCCAGCAGCTCGCGGCGGCAAACACGGTAATAGGTTTCCGCCTCCCCTGTCAGCATATTCACCAGTCCCCGAAAGAATTCCTCCGCCGCCAGCTGATCTCGCTCCCACCACGCTCGCAGGTTCTCCAGCTGCATCAGGTAGTTCTTCAGAGAAGGGCTTCGCCAGACCTCTCCTGAAAATCGTTCTAGCACTTCCACCTTTGGGAGCATGGTGTATCGCCACCGTGACGAAGCTGCTTCTTCTTCGAACCCCTGCCATGATGCGCTGCGCTGATACGGCCGGTCGCCACCCGTCCTCCCTCCGGCGGTGACGCCACCCTTTTCCGACACGGGCTTCCCTGCCTCGCCTTCTTCTCCCGCTACATCCGTCTCACGCGTCCCTTCGCGTGCGGTGTCAAAGCCCGTGGCTCCCCCGGCCTCCCGTGCCCGCCTCCTTCCTTGCCGTGCACGTTGACTGCTTCACGAGCCTCAGCTTCGTTCTTCCCATCGCCTTCCATCGTGTTGCTCACTACTATCGGTTCCTTCGCGGCGAAATCTAATCCTTACCTCGTGGGCATGCCTTCTCAGATTGCTTGTACGTGATGAGCTCTCTGCTCCGTCACACACTTCACCCTACTCTCCACTACTGTTCTTTGCTTGCCATATCTCCCTCTATTCACCGTTTGCTCGATCTGCAGCAATACTTTCATGTATAAGGGAAACATACAAGCAATGGATAGTAGATTCAGGAATCCACCTATTCTAGCAGCAACGCCACCACCGCACTACGGTCCCGTCATCCCTGCCTACGCTAGCAGCTATGAACTGCTTCACACACGCTTGCAGCCGTGATGCCTCTTGCCACCCTTCCTTGCCCTATCTGCTCGTCCTCCAGCTGTTACTTCCAGATCCAGCTGGCTCCCCGAACCTATCCTGCACACATAGAGAAAGCAAACAAGCATGCACACGTACACCCATCCTTCCTATCCCGCGCTGCTGCTTCCTGCTGCCGCTGCCTTGTCTGCCTCTGTTTCTTCAGCCCGCCCCACCTTGCTTACGTAAGCTCCAGCCCCGTTCTCACCCATGCAACCCTCCGACCCTCAGGCTCGGCAAACGTCAGCTCCCCAACTCCCCTTTGTGCTCGCAAAATGTCAGATGACTCCTCGTCTTCCATCCTCGGTTGACTCCGCTTCGCTATGTACAATATCTACACTTTTTTCAGTCCTTTCACTCTACCGCCTTACCCTTCACATTCATGCAAATGTGACAGTGCTGCTGTGCTGCTGCTCACTGTTGTTGCTTGCACGGAATGGTTTTTTCTCACGTAGGTACCTGAAGGCTCCCTCACCCCCCTGCCCATGGCCAAGTCTGTCTATCATCCGCGCCATCGATGCCAGAAAGTGCTGCTGCTTCCCCAGGTATGGGAGGTGAATGCTCCTGCTTCCCCAGGTACGGGTGGTGAGTGCTCCATGAGTCTGTTTCTCCACACGTGCCTCTCCGTACGCCCGATGAGTTGTGCTTCGCTCAGAAGGTGTTGCGAGCGTACCTACCATACCATCTCCTGTTCCTCACAATCATTACCCAATCCTGACCGTCAATCCCCATTCCTGCCAATTAATTGCCTATAACATTACACGTCATCAGACTGTTGTTGCTGGCACGCAAGTGGAGGGTTTGTGGCGATCGGAGTGAGCAAGCGAGCAGGCATGTCCTACGTCGTTGCAGCCCTAGACAAGGTGGGGTGCGGTGCAGTGTGGCAAAGTACAGCACAGTGTGTGTGACAAGGTACGGTACAGTGTGACAAGGTGCGGTATAGTGTGAGCTATGCTGGCAAATACGCGTTTTGCGTATTATTCGCTGGAGTACACGCAATATGTGAAGGAGCCGGAGCTGAAATACGTCAAAATACACGTTATTTAGCAGTATACAATTTTCTGGGCATGATAGAAAAATGCTTTTCAAGGGGGGAGAAATGGGTGAAGTACTAATGTGCGGAAAAGACTAACGCAGAAAGACTGATGCGTAAAGGATGAGATTTGGAATCTATAAACCTGGAGATGGGAGGAACTCGTAATGAGGGAAGGGTTGGGATTGGGAGGTTGAGTTGGGTGGTGTGTGGTAATGAGAGGGTGAGTGATTGGAGTTTGAAGTTTCAGATGGTTGGGTTAAGGAGGTTGAATTGGGTGGTCTGTGGTTCAGTGATTTCACATCTCGTCAAATTTCACAGCCGCGATACCCTGGTATCTGTCGCGATTTGTTTTTACAGCTTTCGGAAAAAAAAAAAAGAAGAAGAAGAAGAAGAAGAAAAAAAAAAAACAGTGACGGGCTTCCCAAGCGTATTTCAGCGTTTTTGGTGCGTATGTGCGTATCGCGTACAAACGTCCCCCCCTCCCCCTCCACAGCATATATGCCAAGTGTGAGAAGGTGTGGTACGCCACGGTACAGTGTGGTACAGTGCAGTACGATTCAGCCATGCCAACCTGCAAGCAATGTGATCATGATGCCCAATCTGCACTACACTCATGCCCCTTCCTCCCCTCCCACCCAACCTGCAACCGTGCCGCTTCCCGTCTCCAACCCCTCCCCTCTCCCCACCATCCCCTTCCACCTTCCCCATCATCCCTCATCTCTTTCAGTGGGTGGTGTGGTGTGCTGCCATGCATATCAATTGCTGCCATGCATATTGCATGGTGCTATGTGCTGATGACGCACGGCTACAGTCTGCTCAACATAGGCCCCAACCTACTGCACAGCAATTCCCCTCCCCTCCCTTCCCCTCAATCCCCTCCTCTCATCCCCCCCATCAGCGAGTGGTGGCGTTCATAACGTATGGCTACGATGTGCTCAGCGTGGTGCCCACGCTGCAGCACATGCACACCCCTTCCTTCAGACTACATGCACTTACTTCCCCCACCACCCTCCCACATCAGCGAGTGGTGGCGTTCATAACGTACGGCTACGATGTGCTCAACGTGGTGCCCACGCTGCAACACATGCATGACTCGCTGGGAGGCTGGCCCATTCTGCTCAAGTTCAACCCCGAGTACAACATCAGCCAGCGCCTCCACTCCAAGGAATACCGCAAAGCGGCGGTAAGATGCTGCTGCTGCTAATGTCATTATTGGGTGCCTCAAGGGGCTGGCCCATACTGCTCAAGTTCATATGTTTATGCAACTCTCCACTCTTGCTTCGCCACCTTGCTTTCACGCCATAATTTCAGTTGCGTCCTTGGCTAAACCTAACGTATGTGCGTGTCATGGAAACTCAATGGCTGATGATGCCATGTGTGACCCTCCTCTCCTCACTCACACCTGCGGGATCTGATCGACCCTACACATCCATCGACCCCAGGCCACGTGCGCTGTTCAGATTCTGTCTGAGTCGGTGCCATGCCATGCCATGCCATGCCATGCCATGTGTGATCTGATCGACCCGTGCACGCTCATCTCAGCGACCGCATGGGCATGCATGGATCACTACCAGGCCGCATGTGCTCTGGAGAACTATTTGAGTCCATGCCATGCCATGCCATGCCATTCCTTCGGTGACCTTCCTCTACCTACAGGATCTGATCGACCCTTACACGCTCATCTTATCGGCCGCATGGACATGCATGGACCATGTTTGGCCTTCCTCTACCCGCATGGACATGCATGCACCATGTGTGACCTTCCTCTCCACTCCTCTCTCACCGCCGCCCCACCACGTGCAGGAGGCTATCGACCTGTACACATTCATCGACCGCATGGACATGCCCAAGCTGCTCATCTCCGCCTCCAACGACGAGTTCTTTCGCATTGATGACTCGTGAGTGCCCACCATGCCGATCACGCGCCTTCATGCGCCCTCATGCCTCCATGCACTTCACCATGCCCAAGCTGCTCATCTCTGCATCTAATGACAAGTTCTTTCTCATTGATGACTCGTGAATGCTGCCATGGCCCCCGCTCCTTCATGCTCCTCCATGCGCCTTCATGCCCCCTGATTACCTGGCATGCCCCTTGATGCCCCCTGATACCTCATTATGCCCATGCATGCCCCTCCCCTTGATGCCCTCGCATGCTCCTCCATGCGCCCGGATGTGCCTTGTTGCGCCTCCTCATCCCCAATCAAGAATGGCTAGTCAATTTCAAGGGCTTTGCGGACTCAATAGGATCGTGGATGTGTCCCTGGAGGCTGGAGCCGACAGTTTGGAGTCACTTTCGAGAATTATCAGAAGTGACTCTAATATAATTGTGGATTCAATTCACAACACAGTCAAATCAGACCACATCAGATCAGATCAGATCAGATCAGTTTAGATCAATACACTGGTGCCCGGATTAACTTGAGAGGTTCACGACTATGTTGAGCACCCTGTCTTGTCTTAATCTTAGTAGAATATGATTAGCTGGAAATTGGATTGGCTGGCCGGCTCAAGCACCAAGTAGTGAGAACAAATGAGATACCCAATGTGATTTCAAATGTGATATCAAAATGTGACTTCAAACGCGATATCAATATTTGATTTCAGATGTGATATCCAAGCTGGGCCTCCAATCGGGTTACTGTCAGATACACATGGGGGCATGGGAGGGACCAACTCCATTTATCAAACTGTCTGCCTGCCGTACTCGCTGCGGGTACATTACATGGTGACGCCTTCTGGACTCACCAACGTGGATTCAAGTCGAGGTGTCTCAAGAAATGTGCAGGAAATCTCATGCAGCGGTGAACTTTGTCTTGCAGACCATGCAATCAGCTTTTGTCCCAAGAGGTGTGCAGGTCTTGCACGGATTTGCCGTGACAAAACACGGTAGATGATATTGCAGCCAGCCAGTGTAATCTTGGAGAGCACACCTTAGGCACACCTTAAGGTTCCTAGCTAGCTGCAAAGACTTGCGGCTCCACAGAAAGCTCGCGAAGCATTCTCAATGCAGAATGACGACATCACACTGTCCTCGTTTGCTTCTGCTGATCCCCCACTCCAATTATATCACCCCTCCACCTCTCTCCCCTCCTCTCTCCCTTCCCCCTCTTCCTCCGCATCCTCTCCCCCACTCACCCACACAGCTCAAGCTCAGTTTGTTAGTCAACTCAAACCCCCCTCTTCTTCCTGCCTCCTCTCCGTACCGTACCCACCCGCTTATGCAGGTACTATTTCCTCAAGGACATGCCGCAGCCCACGCAGCTCAAGATTGTGCCCAACCTCTACCACATGGTCATTCAGAACTCCTTCTGGGTCAGTGCTGCCCTCCCTGCCTCCAATATTCCTCTCTACCTCTCGCTACAGCTTTGCCCTTTATAGTGCCCAACCTCTACCACATGGTCATTCAGAACTCCTTCTGGGTCAGTGCTGCCCTCTCTTCTTCCAATAGTTGTCTTACCTCTCGCTACAGCTTTGCCCATGATAGTGCCCAACCTCTACCACATGGTCATCCAAAACTCCTTCTGGGTGCGCCCTACCTTCCCTTTCCTTCCCTCCCTCTTCTTCCCACCCTCTCTTCCTCAACCACTCTTCCCCACCCTCTCTTTCCCACCCTCTCTTCCCCACCCTCTTTTCAGCCCCCACTCTTTCCCATCCTCTAGTCTCCACCCTCTTTTCCCCACCCTTTCTCCCCCCCCACCCTCTCTTCCCCACCCTCTGGTCTCCACCCTTTCTTTTCTTTTGCTGAATAAGCCCTCAATCTGTGTCATCTTTTCTTGATGTTTTGTAGCCTATGTATCTTTCGTCGCATGGCTGTGAAGGACTTGTGGTGGCGTTCTGTTTTTCCTATCCAGAACGATGTGCCATGCCCTGGCATCTCTTTGTCTCCTCTTCAATTTACCCGTGATGCCTCCCTCATGTCTTCTTGCTGCCATTCCCCCACTGCCCTTCCAATACCCACTCTCTCCCCTTCCTCATCCCACCTCCTCTCCCCCTCTCTCTCTCCTCCCTCCCCCCTCTCTCTCCCCTCCCTCCCTCCCCCCATGAGGCCTACAACGCATGTCTATCCTCCCAAAAGCTGAAAGCTGATTCCTCCTGCTCTTCTTTCACCCCCACCCTCATGCCAACCTCCTCTTCTGCTTTCTCTCCCTCTTCCCTCCCTCTTCCCTCCCCCCACCTGTCAGGCATACGATGCAAGTCTCTCCTTCTTCTCCTCTCTCCTCGAAGTCGATTCCTCCTGTGCCTCTCTCCCTGCATCCTCTCGCCCCTCCCTCACCTGGACCCGCCCCAACATCTCCTCTTCTTCCTCCTCTTCCTCCTCCTCATCTCCATCCTCTTTAAGAGCCGCTTCAGTTGAGGGTACAGGCTTGTTTTCTCAAGGAGGTCGGGGCGAAGGAGGTTTGGAAAACCCCAAGCGTGATATGCTGCCTTGGAGCTGCACGCCGAAGCTGCCAGCTGTGTCGTGGCCGAACCTGAGGTGGCGCTTTGATTGGGCCACATTCACCATCCATGCCATGTCAGAGCGCAAGCCATTGGCTGTCAGGGCGTGGTGAGTTAATGGGGGGTGGGAGGTGTGAGTGGTGGGGAATGAGGGAAAGGGAGGGAAGGAGAGAAGCGAGGAGGGCGAATGGTGAGGGAAAGTTGAAAGCCCATCACTGGTATTAGAGGTGTTCGCTTCTTTGCGTCCTCTCACCTTCTATGGTGTCTTTTATTGTTTTTTCTTGTGTTCTCAGGACTGCCCGCACAGTTTTGGGCAGCAAGCGAAGGGATTTTCGGATGGTGATCAAGCAAGGCTCAGTGGGATGGTGAGAGGAGAGGAGAGGAGATGAGAGGAGAGGAGAGGAGAGGAGAGGAGAGGAGAGGAGAGGAGAGGAGAGGAGAGGAGAGTAGAGTAGAGGAGAGGAGAGGAGAGGAGAGGAGAGGAGAGGAGAGGAGAGGAGAGAGCAACGAATGGAGAAGAAAGCTGATTAGCTGTCCGCAGGCTAGTGAGAGGAGAGGTTCGGCAGGCTAGTGAAGGGAAAGGTTTGGCAGGCTAGTGAGGGGAAAGGATCGGCAGGCTAGTGGGGGGAAAGGTTCGGCAGGCTAGTGAGGGGGAAGGTTCGGCATGCTAATGAGGGGAGAGGCTTGGCATAGTCTGTATGGACTGGTAAGGAAAATAGTCAAATATTTTCCAAATTTGTATGGTATCTCCAGTTATTTCCCTCATAGTTATCTCAACCGCAGCAGTGCTCTGAAGTTGAGATGCCCTTGTTTGCACACACTAAAAACCTAACATGCTCGGTGCATATATAGCACCATTCAAGCACGTCGTTATCCATCCACTTCCTTTCCGCAACCCCCACCTTCAAAACCCCTCCGTTGCTCTCCTTCCCCTCTTTTCCCTTCACGATGCTATCATTCTGTAGACATTTGGAAGAACTCCCTTCCTGATGCAATTCACACCCCGCGCACCCCATCACTTCCTTCACCATTTCCTCCCCCGCCCGCCTTCCAACCTTGCCTCCCACCCCCCAGCATGGCCCCTTTTCAGATGCCCTCCTCCACATATGCCGGCAAGTTTGGCATGCTATGTGCGCAGCCCGTACCGTTTACCACCGTGTCCATGTCCAAGCCCAGGGCAGAGGATGACGGGCTATGACACTTCCATGCCACCATCACAGATGTGCCCAAGGTGAGTGTGCGTGTTGTGTGCGTGTGAGTTTGTGCATTTTGTACTCAATACAAGTAGGCAGTGTCTCACCCCAGTATGCTCTGTCGTTGAAGGACGATGGGCTCTGGCACTTCCATGCCACCATCATCGTTCCCAAGGTGCGTGTGAGTGAGTGTGTTTTTGTGTGTGTGTGCGTGCGTGCATGCGTGCGTGCGTGCGTGCGTGCGTGCATGCGTGCGTGCGTGCGTGCGTGCGGCGTGCGTGCGGGCGTGCGTGCGTGCAGGCGTGCGTGCGTGCGTGCGTACGTGCGTGCGTGCGTGCGTGCGTGCGTGCGTGCGTGCGTGCGTGCGTGCATGCGTGCGTGCGTGCGTGTGGATATGTTTGAGTGCGTGTGTGAGTGTGTGTGCGGTGTGTGAGAGAGTTTGTGTGTGAGCGTGCGTATTGCACTTTGTACTCGATACAAGCAGGCAACTTATCTGGGCATGCTGTGTGCACAGTCCATGCTGTGGCACTTTCGTGCCACCATCACTGATCTGCCCAAGGGGGTGTGCATGTGCGTGTACATGTCTCATGCAGGAGGGGTATCGGGCGATGTTCATAGAGGCAGATTTCAACCAAGGGCCCTACAAAAAGCCCTTCACAATCACCACGGAGGCCATGGTCGCCCCCAACAACCTTCCCTTCTCACCTAGTGACAAGCCAGAGTGCTACTTCCACTTTGTATAACCCATAACGCCTAATGGCGCTTTCTTACCGTACTGATGATAACGTTTCCGAGTATATTGATTCGTGTGTTAGGTGCGCCTGTAGCTTTTACAGATCTCTCCAAATGTGAACAGAGGAATAGTATAGGTGAGTTTGGAATACAAATAGACAACCCTAAGGGGTTGTACCCTCTGAAGAGTACCGTAATATAGATAACACGGCATGGCAATAATTGACATACCCCGTAGACTAAGTGAGGGGCGTTGAAAACAAGCGGGGGACAAATGGTTACAAGTCTCAAAGTTAGGTAAGTGGAATGTGTTGACTACCGTCATCGCCCGGATATAAGACATATATGTCTTATCTCGTACATGTGGCAAAAATGGTTGGATTGTCTCGTATTTGGGATAGTTTAGGGTGTCTTATAAGTCTTATAAATGGACAAACAACCATTTAGAAGATACCCCCTCAATACAACTACCCCTAACCCCTACACTGGCTTAACTCATACACACAAATACCGAGGTGTCTTATAATAAGGCTATCCCGTTTATAAGAGACACCCGGATATTAGACACCCCCTTGTCTTCTATTCAACACTGTCTTATATCCGGGTGATGACGGTAGTAAGATGGGTGTTACAAATCCGGGTCTTTGATAGTTTTTTTGAACCGTCCAAAGATCAGACCCCCCTTAGTAGCTTGATCTGAGGGGGAGGAGGGGAAGGAAGACCAAAGGCCGGAAGGCCACTGACAAGTGGGAACAGCTGCTGCAAAGGTGGCGGCTGCTACGGCTGCAGCTTCTGCTCCTGCTGCTGCAGCTCTCAATGCTGCTACTCCAGCTCCAACCTCTTCTGCACCATTCACTCCTTCTCCTCGCGTTCAAGCCGATAAGGAGCCTGGTGATGTGTTGGGTAGCGGATGGGATGTGGGAGAGGCACAGGAGCAGCGTCTTCAGCTTTATTCTCCTCAGAATTAGCACCTCTAGTGCCAGCACTAACAGCTCTAGCACCTCCAGAACTAGCAACCCCCGTGCCAGCACCTTCAGCCAGCACCCCCATAACCAGTACCTCCAGTTGTAGCATCTCCAGCTCTAACACCCCGTAAAACTAGCGCCTCCAGTGCCAGTACCGCCAACTCCAGCAACCCCAAAATTGGCACCTCTAGTGCCAGTACCGCCAGCTCCAACACCCCCAGAATCAGCACCTTCAGCACCAACACCCCCAGGACAGGACCCACACCTCCAGCGCGCGTGCCTCCAACATCAACTCCCCCAATGTCCACTGCAACCTATCGCGGTAGTGCCGAAAACTGTTGTGTTGACTGTGAGGACGATGTAGGGCAGGAGACGACACCGGACGTGTTACTGAGGGGAGAGGGGTAGCGTGAGACGCACCTGACAGAAAAGGATCAGGGTGTACTTAGGACCAGGAGGAGGAGGAGGAACTAGGAAGAGGTAAAAGGGGGAATCGGAAGATCTTGGTGGGGTTCACGGGTGTAGTAGGACACATTCTTGCCAAAGCAGATGTCAAGGGAGTCAAAGAACTGGAGGGGCGGTTGGCGAAACTCAAAGACAGAGTAGTCCACCGGAAAACCAGGGAAGACATAGGGGAGGGTGTGAGCTGAGAGCTTGTCTGCAGAGGTATCGTGGACATGTGCAAAGCAGCCCCTGACACGGAACTCCGACGCAACACCACGGGAACCGGTCTAGAGATTAGTCGGTGAATCGTCTGGCCGTAAGATGCAAGGCGGGAGGTTTAGCTGGTGGGCAGCATAGCTAATCACGTAGGGCCATAGAAAATGGGGCCTATAGGCATGGATCATAGAAGTGTGGGCGCATGACCAAGCCTATACCAAAGTTAGCAACCTCGTTCTGTTGGTACCCTGTTCACGACAAAAATTGGCAAGCACACCGGGGAAAAACTCAACCCTATAGTCGGAGTGGAAACAAAGGACACGAGTATCAGATTTTATACAGTATTTACAAACTCTTGATCAGATATCTTCCCGCACTCACGACAATGTGACACATCAGTGCTGAGTGTTTTATATAGGATAAGCTTTACTATATGTCATTCACTCTCCCCTTCCAACTGTCAACGGGAGTTGTGTGTTGGCCCCGTCCTCGCTTGGGCGGAGCCGACTTCATGGTCGGGTGTAGGGGTGCAGCCGACCTGTAGCAGTGGGCGAGCTGGTCGACGAGGTTGGTCGACCTGCACGGGAGCCACTGCAAGGGCGCCGACTTCGGGAGGGCGCCAGCTTCGGGTGGTCGACCTGGGAAGTCGACCTGCAGAGGGCGTTGACGTAGTGACGCCAACTTGGGGAAGCCGACTTGGGTAGTCGGCAAATGGAGCTTCTGGTCGACTTGGTTGGTCGACCAGATCTGCTGGTCGACTTGGTTGGCCGACCAGATCTGCTCGTCGACTTGGTGGTCGACCGAACATGGTGGTCGACGAAGGAGGGGCCGACGTCGACCTCGACAGAGGGATTCAGGACGCCGAACAGCTGGGCGTCGAGTAGCAGGGCGTCAACGTGTTGACGCCGACTTCGGGTAGCCGACTCTGGTGGTCGGCTAGTGCTGGTCGACCTGGAGGGACGTCGACCTGGAGCTGGTCGACCGAGGGTGTGGTCGACCTGGTGAGGTCGACTTGGAGTGGTCGTCGACCTGGGTGGTCGACGGGCACGCACGAAAGCGGCTGGTCGACGTGGTTGCCCGGTCGACCAGGTTACCTGGGTGACGAGGGTCTGCGAAGGCACGCGAAGGTCGCCCAGGCGAGGTTGGCAAGGACGACCTCGGTGGTGGTATCCCGAGGTCGACCTGGCAGATCAGATGCAGTCGTCAGCACGAAGTTGACTTGGTGTGTGCGCTGTGCAGGTGACGAGGCACTGCACGCCAATCATCTGTGCGGACCTGCGAGGCTGGTGCGATGCTGGACAGAGGGAGCAACGCTGGCACGCCGTCGACTTGCGCTGTTGTCCCACCATCGATCTGCAGCATTGGCAAGCCGCGTCCCTGCACTGCTGGAGCGCGGTCGACCAAGTCGTGCTGGCACGCGGTCGACCGTGCTGCGCTGGCAGTAGACCTGCTTGCATTCTAGCTCTAATGTAGTCTATCCTTGCCAGCTTCGTTGTATCATTGTTGTCAACTTTCTCTAGTGAAACTCTTGCCAATTTGCCCCGTGAACTAGCAAGCAGTGTGTGCACTAGGAAAACGACTAAGGAACAACGAACGCAGAGATCACACGAGCACCCGTGCCTAGCCCGTAGTCTAGCTCCCGTTGCGAAAGTTATCTCCGCACCAACAATGCAAGGAGGGTGTTAATCTTATGGCACTTTGCTTGGCCTAGTCAATGCAACATCGTATCAGATTTGCGTCGAACCGCACTAAAACGCATCCAAACAGAGTCGAACACACTGAAGCGCATTTTACCACACGAAGCTGATACGAGGTAAAGGAACACGCTCTTATATCGACACAAAGTGAACCATCGACGGTGACTGCACTGCAGAGGAGATCGGCGCCAACTCCATTCCTAACAGAAGCGTCGGTTACAATAAGAGCAAGTAAATGCTCGCGTGCCTTGAAGCTAGAAAGGGGCCCGAACCATAGGCTTTCTTAGCCATGCAAAAATTCCCACAAGGGGGGTTTTCTAAAATGTGTCTTGGTGTATTACAAACTTATGGCACAAACAACTGTTTCATCCCAAGGGTGGATGATTTTGCTGCAGCTCAACACAAACATTGGGTGGACAAAGATTCATCTGTCGACATATGCGCTTATAGAGAATACGATGTAACATATGATTAGATACTGGATATATGCGCATCCGTAGAAGCTGTTATACGGTTCTAGTACAAAATTCGTCCGAAACATCCCAATACACAAGCCAGTTAACTGATTGTAAGAAAACCTTAATAACGCAAACATGGTTCATTCAGTTGTGGTCATCACCTATGCTCCTACTTACTTCCCCACTTGTCACCTCACCAACAGTCAAGCTCTCATCCTCTTCTAGACTGCCTTCGTCATCTGTCGTTCCCCTCACTGCACTTACACCCCTTACTGCAGACTCAGCTGCAGGGCTCACACGGTAGTCCCTCATCAACCAATTCCCTCCCCCCGTTCCCAGTCCCCCCAGCCCTCTCCCTTGCTCCAATCCGCTCTCCCCCTCCCGCTTCACCACCTCCTGGTGCAGCTGCTTCAGCTGTGAGAGCACTTTAGCCATGGAGGGGCGCGAAGCAGCGGGCATGGCAGTGCATGCCAGTGCCAGCGATGCAAGGCTCTGCATGACGTCAGCATGCACCATGCTGGCACCAGACGCGGCAGGGGAGACCATCCGTGGGTCTATGATAGAGCTGACGTCACCAGTGGAGAGCTCTGCAGCCACCTGTACGACAGGAAAAAGGAGGGAGGTAGTTTTGAGCCGACACGATTGGATCGCGGGATGCCGAAGAGGGAAATCGAAGACACCCATTTCCGAGCGAGTGTGAGCCACCGAACAGATGGATGGATTGAGAGGGACTTCCGCGAGTGGGCTTGTCGTGGCTCGTGAATAAGAGAATGACTCACCCATTCCCGGATGTGAGACTGCGAGCCATCTACAGAGAGGATGGGCTCCCTGCCTGTCATGACCTCCAGCAGCAGCACTCCGAAACTGAAAAGTTGGAAGAATAGTTGTTCAGGAAAGAGCAGCGAGCAGAGAAAGAGAGAGGAGGGAGGATAGAGGAGAGAAGAGAGAGGAGTGATGCTCAACACGAATTATATGCTCACTCAGAAACTGCAGGAGGGTGAGTGGTTGGTGAACTGGAGGAGAAAGAAGAGGTTCTTTGTGGTGATCTTCCGCAGCTGCTGCAGATTCGAAGCTGGAAATATTCTGATGCACACAGTCATCCACCCGACGCACATGACAAGAAACTGACTGCTCACCTGTACACATCGGTAGCAGTGGTGGCGAGGCGGGTCTGCTGGTATTCAGGGTCCACATAGCCCGGTGTGCCCATCACCCTGGTGGTGTTCACCTGGGTCGCCTCCATCTTCCGCATGAACCCAAAATCCGCCACCTTCGCCTGGAATGGTGCGTGGCATGGCGACGGAGAGGGAGTGAGAACGGGCAGGACCAGTTGAACAGGTTTGGCATCTCAAGTCATAAGAAAGGGTTCACCTGGGTCGCCACGTGGACCCAAACTCCGCCACCTTTGCCTGTGAGGGTGGTGGTCAGGGGAGAGGGAGGAGATGCGTGGTGGAGGAGTGTGCTTAACAGAACCTCACAAGAGCCCCAAATCCGCCACATTTGCCTGAATGGTCCAAGCGTTGTGGGGGAGCGGGAGGAGGAGACGGGTCAACCCGGAATTTTGCAAACTTTGCTGAAAGGGTGAACCAAAAAGGTATGTGGCATGGCGAGAGAGGGGAAGTCAAGGGAGGGAAAATGTTAGAAATTTGATCAAAGAATAGGGCAGAAAGGCGCCTTCAGGACAAAGTGGACAGGTAAGTGGATGCAAAACAGGAATACATGAGCAGAGAGACTGTTCTTGAGGTGCCTCAAATACAAGAGCAGATGCATTTTCATTTGGTTGCCTCACCCGCATGTCAGCATCCAGCAGCACGTTGGCGGGCTTGACATCGCGGTGCACGATCCGACGGCTGTGGAGGAAGCTCAGCCCATCCGCCACGTCCACCAGCACTGCCAGCCGCTGCTGCAGCGACATGGGCTTCGCCCCTGAAAGGTGGGGGATGGGGATTTGAAGAGGGCGTGAGGAAGTGGGTGGTGAGAAGGGCTTGGCCCGTGGGAGGTGCGGGGCACGGGGAATAGGAGCGGAGAGGATTTGGAAGGGAGTATGGATGTGCGATGGCACGTTCACCAGCACTGCCAGCCTCTGCCGCAGTGACATAGGCTTGGATCCTGGGAGGCGGGGGAGTGAGAAGATGTGAGGGATTAAGGGTCTGTCGTTGTGAGATGGGCTTGGCTCTTGGAAGGTTGGTCGGTAAGAAGATGTAGAGGGCATGAGGGAGTAGGGATTGGTGGGGTGACATGGGCTTGGTCACTGAGGGGTGCGGGTTTGTGAGTGCCATAGGGAAATGAAGTGGGAATGGGGAAGTAGGGTTTCTGGGATGAGATGGGTTTGGCTCCTGAGGTGCGGACACATTGGGGAATGAAAAGTGCATGAGGGAAGAAAGAAGGGGCTTGGCTCTAGGGAGGTGCGGAGCGGGATGGGGGACTGAAGAGGAGGGCCACCAGAACAAGTGCTTAGAGGCTTGGTTAGTGAGCTTTTTGGCTGGGTCCGTGCCACAGGTCTCCGTTGGGCATGAAGCAAGGCACGATGGTCTGTTTCATGTACCTGCCTTGCCGCACGCACCTAGGTGATTGATTCAAAACCCTGTTGTCTCACCGGGCTTGGTCATACATTCGCCTGGCGTGCACCAAACTCACCTGGCTTGGTCCATTGCCAGAGGTCTCCATTGGGCATGAACTGAGACACGATGATCTGCTCCATCTGCAGGGCTGCCTCGTTGTAGTCGATGCAGTACCCCAGCAGTGGCACCAGCGCTGGGTGCTTCAGCCGTGCCATGGCTGCCACCTGGGAGAGGGAAGGGAGGAGAAGTTGACGAGAGGTGGCAAATGGGGGAGGGTGATCAGGAGGGCAGACTTGAAAGTACAAGTCGTGCAGGGGAGCAAGAACAGTGGTCAATGCACTACCTGCTAGCAGCCTCTCTTTCTGCAACTGGGCCATGGCTGTCTACTGGGAGTGGTAGAGGGGAGGTAATGGGAGAATGACAGGGGATGAGATTGAACGATGGTCGTTGAATAATTCCTTGTAAGGAGTCAGCGCGCTCCTCCTTCATGAAGCCGTTGCAGAGCACCGTGGCGTACTTTGACGGTCCACACCACACCTCACCACTCCACACCACCCCACACTACCCCACACCAACCCACAACACACTACCCGACACCACCCCACACCACCCCACACCACCACACACCGCCCCACAGATGTGATTCCCCATACCTCCTTCACGAATTCAGTGGACAGAGCCGTAGCACGCTAGACGTCCCTGTCAGAAATAGGCTTAGAAGTGATGCATTAGTAATGAGCTTGAAGCTCTTTAAGTACATCCAAGAGGGGTAGGAAAAGGATGGGGAAGGGAATCGGGGGCAATCTCTAGGGATTGGGGGTAATCCCAAGGCAATCTCCAATTGGTGGGTTGGAGATTGGTTGGAGATTACATTTGGGTTTGGTTGGGATGTAGGTGTACACCCAACCAAACACAATGTGCAAACTACACTACTCTAGGATATAGAAAATACAAAGTACAAATTGTGAGATTGAAGACTAACACTAACACCCCCCCATAGGCGTCAATCGAACTCAGGGTAGAGAGGGTGGAGCACAGAGCCCCATGGCGCCAAGGAGACGGTGGTGGGGAACTTTCCCAAGGGGCTTGGTGAACAGATCAGCCAGGTTGCAGTCAGATGCAACGTATTCCACTTTCAACTGCTCTTGTTGGACAAGGTCACGGATGAAGAAGTGCCGGAGTTCAATGTGCTTGGTGCGGGTGTGATACACAGGGTCTTGAGAGATGTGGATGGTACTCTGGTTGTCACACCAGAGGGTGGGGGCGGACTGTGGGAAACCAAGTTCCTGGAGGAGGAAGGTGAGCCAACGAGCCTCCTGAGCAGCCATGGTGCCTGCGTAGAGCTCTGCCTCACATGAGGAGAGGGAGACTGCAGACGACCTGGTGGAGCGCCAACTGACAATTCCGCTCCCAAGGGTGAAGCAGTACCCCTGAGAGGAGCGTCGGTCGGTCTGGTCATCAGCCCAGGAGGAGTCGGTGTAACCCTCTAGGCGAGGAGGGGAGAGCCCACCGAGTGTGAGGACGTGAGACTTGGTGCCCTGAAGATAGCGCAGCACCCGCTTGGCTGCCTTCCAGTGAAGATCAGTGAAGCGTCCAGGGGCCACGTAGCGAGAGAGGACACTGACAGGATAGGCCAGGTCCGGTCGGGTGCACATCATGGCGTACATGAGGGACCCAACAAGCTCCGGGTATGGCTCAGAGCAGGCCTCTGGTGTGGGTACCGCTGGAGCTGTGAGGAGGTGTTGCAGCGGCAGCGGGGTGGCAACAGGTGTGCATAGCTCCATCTCAAATCGCTTGAGCACATTGTCGATGTAGAACTCCTGGGAGAGTGAGATGGTGCGAGCCTTGCTTAGGGCTGCCTGGACTGAGGTCATCTGGGCCGAGTCCTTGGCCACGAGGATGAAATCATCCACGTAGACTAGGATGTAGAAGGGCTCAGAATGACGGCGGATGAAGAGAGTCGGGTCAGCAGTTGAAGGGTGGAAGTCCAGGGAGAGGAGGACTTCTTTCACCTTGTTGTGCCATTCGCGAGGGGCTTGCTTAAGGCCGTAGACGGGGCGATTCAGCTTCCAGACAGTGTTGGGAGGGAATTCTCCTGGGAAGCCTTCTGGTCTGTCCATGAACACTGTCTCCTTGAGACGTCCTTGTAGGAAGGCGGATGAGGCATCCATGGATTTGATCTCAAAGTCTTCTCGAGCTGCGACATCCATGAGCGTACGAATGGTGGGAGGTTTGGATGTGGGGGAGAAGGTTAGGAAGAAGTCGCGGTACTGCTGCTGGGTGAAGCCCTTGGCTACGTAGCGCGCTTTGAACACCGGTGCCTCGTCTGGGAGCTGTTTTACACGGAACAACCACTTGCCCCCGACGATGTTGACTCCTGGAGGTGGAGTCTCGTCGTCGAAGGAGTGGTTGCGGGTGAATGCTGCAATCTCCGCGTCCATGGCAGCGTGCCATTCGGCAGCATGAGGGCCTGAGAGAGCCTCTTGGACGGTGAGAGGGATAGGGATGGTCGGGTTCTCCGCGAAGTTGAGGGAGGGTGAGCCAGTGATGTCGGGGAAGATGTGTGAGAGCTGAGGAAGGACTGCATGGAGATCACACAGTTCCTCATGCCTGTCTTCTAGAAGGGTAGAGGGCACATCCCCCCCAGCAGGAGGAGGCGGTGTGATCGTTGTGTATCGAAGAACCATCGCGAGTGGAAGAGTAGCGCGATGTGAGCGAGTGCCATGAGCCACCGGGGAAGAGGGTGGGGCTGGCGGGGTCGGAGAGGGTGACTTAGCAGGCTTGGACGGGGGAAGGGGCCGCCGACGGTACGTGATCAGCTCGGGCGACTGTGGGAGAGCGGGTTCCTCTGTGGTGGGGGGAGCCGGGGGAGGAGGTGGGGCCGGAGGGTGGGACCGCCGATGGTAGGTGATAGGTGCGCTCGGAGGGGGCGGCGCAGCGGGAAGTGGGGAAGGTGAGGGGGAGGGAGGAGCAGCTGCCGAAGACACCGGTGAGGCCGGGTCAGTGACCTCAGAGGGAGATGGTGCGATGGCAGGAGAGGGAGGAGGTGAGGGAGCAGGAGCAGGCGGGAGGTCGGGAGGCGCATCAAAGTCTGCCCACACGAGGGAGGGTGGATCAGGGAGAGGGTCCCGTCCCGAAGGGGAGTAGAATGGGCGGGTCTCATCAAAGACAACGTCACGGCTCCTGACCAACTGGTGAGTGGAGGGATTGAGGAAGAGGTAGTCAGGTGAGTCGGCGTTGTGCCCGAGGTAGATGCACGTCTGAGTCTTGGGACCGAGCTTGCCACCGTTATGCCGTCGAGCCTGAGGGTTGAGGAGGACATAGGCGGTGCATCCCCAAACGCGAAGAGAGCGAGCAGTGGGCGTTTTCCCGAGCCAGAGTGTGGTTGGAGTGGTGTCGGGAAGGTGCGGGTGGGGGTAAAGGTTGTAGAGGAGGGCAGCGTGGTAGAGAGCGTACCCCCAAAGAGAGTGTGGAGCGTTGGAGTGGCTGAGGAGGCACCGAGTGATCTGCACCAGGGTGTGGTTGCGGCTCTCAGCTATGCCGTTCTGTTGAGGGCTGTCAGGGAGGGTGAAGTTTTGCTGGATGCCTTCGGAGGAGCAGAAGGCTTTGAGCTTGTCGTTGCAGAACTCACCCCCCCCATTTGAGTGAAGGCGCTTGACCTTGCGGTCAAAAGTGGTCTGTGCCTGCTTGACCCACGCTATGATGACCTCGGGTGCCTCAGCCTTAGTGTGGAGGAGGTGAACAGAGACGTAGCGGGAGTGGTCATCCACAATGATAAGGAAGTAGCGATAGCCACCTCGTGCGAGAACAGGGGCAGGGCCCCAGACGTCCATGTGCACGAGGTCCAGTGGTGCTGCAACGACGGTGGGTGAGGCAGGATGGGGCTGTTGGCGCAGTTTGCTCTTGGTGCAATCAAGGCACGTGGGAGCTGGTGAGTCAGGTGGTGGAGGAAGTGCGGCTGGCAGGCCGAGGAGAAGTTTCTTGGAGGCCATGTCAGCAAGAGTGCGGAAATTTGGGTGCCCGAGCCGATGGTGGTAGAGGATGGTCGGGTTGGAGAGGGTGCGACATGAGCATGGTGTGATAGTGGCCTGTGCTTGGGTGGTTGACACCTGTGGGAGAGGGACGCGTAGCGTGTAGAGGCCGTTGCTGTTGAGGGTGTAGCGGGCCAGAGTTTTGTTGGTGCGTGGATCGATGATGTCGCAATAGTCCTCGTTCTCTGGGAAGATGGTGCGTAGCCCTGCCTCCTGAATTTCTGTTTGGGCAACTAGATTGTGACGCAGTGAAGGCACGCACATGCCAGTGACAGTGCCGGATGGGAAGGCGGGGCATGGGACTGTGGAGGTACCCTTGGCGAGGGTGGTGAAGCTTGAGTCAGCTCCTAAGAGAGGGATAGGTGTTGGGTAAGGTTTGAAGGAGAGGGTCTCCTTGAGCACGGTGTGAGTGGCCCCGCTATCGAGTGTGAACTCTATGTATTGTGGTGCTTGTGATGAGCCGATGTACTGTGAGGTAGCTTCATTAATCATGGCAGTGCCAGGGAACAACAGGTTGATACGCACATCAGCAGGAGCAGCTAGGGTTGAGCACGGGCCGGGCCGGGCCTGCAAAAATCCGGGCCGGGCCAGGCCCGGCCCGACCCGGGCCGAATGATCAAGACCCTGGCCCGAGCCCGCCCATTTTGT